TGGCAGTTTCATCTTCCACCTGCCCCTTGGCTGCTAATGTCCAGCATACCTGTGTCTCACTGGAGACCAAAGCAACAGGTCTGCTGGACGCTTTACAGAAAACAATAGAAACAATTGCGCACACCTGACTACAGACGCCGTTGTCTGCTCTTCACAGCCAGCGCTACCGACACTGTGCGTGCTGCCTCCCACCCACATCAGGAAGTAATCCAAAGGTCAGCGCGCGCTGTACCGGAGGTCACTCAGCCCAACACCTTCTGAACCCCCCCATGTCAGCTCACACTGCAGGAAAGCCACCTTGAACCCTGTCAGTCCCCAGGGACAAGCCCACGCTGCATGGTCACTCCCCCTCTGCCCGTCAGGCCATCATGCACTGACAGAGCAACGTTCTCTATTATAATAACAGACTCCCTTCAGGGCACGTGGCAGTGCTGGGGCTGGGAGAGCTCAGAGATTCCTCTCTTACCTCAGAGAAGGCGCACGGGGACCTGGACCTGAGGCAGCAGCTGTCCAGGGAAAGCGACCGGGGTCAGGATTTCCAAGGGGTCTGTGTGTTTCTTCCCTCCAGGGCTGTTCGAAACTGACAGGGCAGCTCTGGAGCTGAGGCGCAGCTGAGCGTGGAGTGGAGGAAGGAGGACGAGAGAGAGCGAGAGAGAGTTGCAGAAGTGCAGCAAAGAGGAAGGCTCGGGTTTCTAGTGACATCATAGGAACTCCCTCCCCTTCTTCTAACCAAAACTGCCAGTTTTTTCAGACAAAATTGTTGAGAGCTGGTTTTTCCAGTGTTCCACAGAATCAGGGGTACTGCGGTGTTTCCACCATTTTGCTTCTGAGCAAAAAAAAAAAAGCCACATAAAAGATTAAACGCTACCCATGGGAAATTGTTTCTGAGTTTAAAAAATGCGTAGTTTTACTAAGTGCAACATTTTTCCTTCCCATACCTGGATCGTCTCCCTGAGATTTGCGCCTTCACAATTGTATAGCGACTTTCAGAAAAGTGAGCACAGAGCTGTAAAAGTTCACCTGGACTCCAAACTCCAAAAAGGTTTAAATCCTTGAAGCTAGATTTACCCCCAGTGTTCAGCTTCAGATGCTCTGGGTAGTTTTAAGACGAAAAAAGCTTCTTTACTGGAGGCTGACTGACATTGCAGGAGATGGTACATTAAAATCTCATTGTGCTGTTCCATCCTGGTTGTTCTCCAGCCATTTAATCATACAGGGAAGGAGAGTGGTGTTTGCACTCTTCCTCACAAACGCCGTTACATTCCCAGACCCACTGTTTCATGATCTCATTCCTGACTGAACCCATCACATTCCCACAGGCACCAGATTCCACAGATTCTCACTCCCGGACCAATTATCCAACCACATCCCTCTCCCTTCAGTATTTAAAGTTCCCTCACGCACCCACCCAGGCTCACTATTGAGAAGCCTCCTGTAGTATTCTCTTGTGTGCGGTTCAACCTTTTTGACTGATCTCCTGGTTCCTAATCTTTGCTCATGGCTTTTTTCGACCGCGCTCTTTGGATTTAGTTTCTCGGATGGTCTTTCTGGGATTTCCCTGGTTACCAGACTCATTGCTTCTCCAATCGACCAAGCTCCCAGATTATGTTTCGGATACTGTCCCTGTGCTACTCCTCATTCTGCAGGATTCATGGCTACGCATAAGGATCCTCCCATTCTACCTATCGGCTCCCTGACAAGTGGTCGGGCATTTCAGCTGTCGTCGCAGGGCAGGAGATCACAGCTTGTACTAACAGGGGACCTGTGAGGCCAGGACCCCGAGGAGCAGGCGGGCCTGGCACAATCCAGGTGCCTTCGGCGCGCTGGACAGCAGTGCCCCCTCCTCAGTGGCCTGCCCCCTCCTCCCATGCATGCCGGCTCTCCTGTGAGGCAGTGTGGGACTCCGGTGTGTGAAATGGCGAATGGCTCTAGCTACCAAAACAGCGTGCTGCCATCTCTCCCCCTGGGCTGGCTGCAGAGCGGGGTTTATTAGACAAACCCAGAGGACACTGAAACAAAGGCCATTACAGATCTATAATAGCGGTCTAGCCCATCATTTACTACACTACAGTGGTGCCTTAAAAGGGCCTGCTGCTGTTTTGTCCTTGGCACAGGGTCAGAGAAACACCTGCGTTTATGTTACATCGGAAAAACAAAAACAGCTGGTGCAGACTTCATCTGTTTCTTATTTTACAGTTTAAATCCTGAAAGCTATGCCTCACATTAAAAGGAAGCAAAGCTTGTGCAGATGACCGACAGATTGTGGACAGGCAGTTATAATGAGACTCTAGATAGCTGCACTCAGCCATACAGAGTACTGATGGACACACGCTGCTCACAATGAGGTGTATTTAGATTTAGATTTAGATTCAGAACGCTTTTGAGGAAGCTCCTTACAAAAGATCAATTCTGAATTAAGACTGAATTAAAAAGTGAATGGCTTGATTTAATTAGTGGAGTACCACAGGGATCTGTACTAGGACCACTGCTATTCCTAACCTGGAAAATCAATAATATAGAGTCTGGTGTAGTTAGCAAACTAGTTTGCAGCCAATACCAAAATACAGTAGGAGGTATTTTTAAAATAGGAGGAGTGTTGGCAAAGACTGCAGAAGTAGCAAATTAAAAACATATTGTAACGCCCTCGTCTGGTGGTGAGGAGGAAGCGCCACTAGGCGCTCGTAGTACCGCTGGGCATGCTGGGAGTGGTAGCCGGGGAGAGTCTGAGGGTCAGCACGATGACCAGCGGCTGACCCTACACTGTGTAAATAATGTCCTAGTAGTTCTAGTGCCCTGTGTAGTCTTATAAGAGTATAGCGTGTTGTTAAGTAATTACCACCCTAAAAATGTGTACGTGTTCCGTCAGTCTCCTCATGTGCTTGTTTATCCTGTGTTAGATTTTTGTGGTTATTAATGAATAAAGCTAGCGCTTGGTTTGTTAATCACGTCTCCACTGGTCATTTGTTCTGAGAAGAACCTGTAAACGCTACAATATTTATATTAAATTCAAACACCTGGGAGATGACATTTAGTGTAAATAAGGATAGGATTTTGCATGGAGG